AGGATCGGTACGATAGTCATTCATATCAACGAGAACTTTTGAAAAGAAACAGGAAGCTTCGGGAAGAGGTCGAGTAGCCTGCTTGAAAGATTAAAACAATTATTTTCTGTGAACTGTCTACTCAGAAGCATCTCAGAAATAGGAAATACCGCAGGATGTAAAATGCCCTGAAGCAGTTGTTTGGTGGAAGCATGATGATACGTGACCTGCTTTGTTTTCTTCAACGTTTCTAACCATAACGAGCAGTGTTGCGTACAACCCACATAACTCGTGACTGGGAAAGCTCAAGGTTTTAACTAATATTCTAAACGACTTAACGGCTACTTTTTATTAAGTAATGTGTCCCCAACGGGCATTTCATAGATTGCTGGAGAGTATTAACGACTGCTGTAACACCCAAGACAAATCTAAACATTCACCCAGCTATTGTTTTGTCCTAGGCTGTCGGTTCCCACTTCACGTTATCTACGGGATCAATATTAGGTAACAGTTTTTGGGCATTTTTTTAGATTTTTAATGATGCTGAGACTAGGACTGGTAGCTTACCTGGCCAACTTATTATTACAAAGTAAGAAGAGCAGATTTTTTGTGATTAGATGCCACATCTGTTAGGTTCGGAATGGGGAATATAATACACGATATTTTTGTGCACAATGTCTGCATAGTTTTATTAGTTGGGCAGTTTGGTGGGCTGCATATACTAAAGTTACGCACTGGAGCGTATCCGACATAAGGGGGTGTTGCTTATCATTAATACGTCCACCTAATGCATACAGAATATGCGGAACACAGAAAAAAAACTTGCAAACTGCGTGTTATGATTATTCGAGCATTGCTGGTTGTGCGTCTGACCACCCACCACAGGTAGACTAATTTCCCATCCTTTTATGGCATCACTAATATAGGAGATATACCGACTGATCTTGTCTACACGTTCCACGACTGACACATTACCTTACGAAATTGGTGAAGGATTTTGTTCTCTTATGTCCAAGATGTAAACCTTTTACACCAAAACGGAGGGGTTATCTAGTTTGACAAACAATCCTCCATTAGGCATTGCCTTAAGACATTCTCTGTCCAAGTTTTCAATAGCACGTTAAGTGTTTTCTAATCGGAGTATTTTGAAAACAATCACCCGCAGGTAACACAGTCAGACCGCTCTCGTGGTTCATAGGTTTAGACATCCCTATGGGCATATCTACTGGTCAAAGTGACGTGCGCAGCCTGAAACTGGAAAGATACCATCAGAGTTTGGCGTGGTTGCTAAAATCTCTGAAGCTCATTTTCACATTTCACACAGAAAGGGGGGAGTGTTTACTCAGAAATAAAGCTGTCATCTGAAAACTTCGATGGGTAAACTACCTTGAATAATCGTCCGAGCGCGTGTCGTATCTCGTCTACATGTCGCCAACTATTTCACCGTATTTACATTGCATGGTGATAAACGACTTGTTTGATAACTGTCTGAAATAGACAATTATTTTTCTCATTTTGCTTTTCAATATTTTTCAAACACCTGATAACAAACGCACCTAAGAGAAATTGGTTGTCCTTTTAAATGCTGTTTGAGACGTTTCAGACAATGGTGTATAGCTCAACTGTGAAAAGCATTCTCCAATTATGTTAAAATTAATCGTTTTGATTTCGTTCCTTCAAGGTGTTTTGTTGAATCTTCAATTGTCTTACACGAGATCATAGAATAAGATCCTGGAACATGCTTTACCCACTGTACATTTCATTCGGTAGAATAAGATAACAAGTGAAAATAAAATGAGGTTACTCTCCTGAGTCGACATCACGTTGTATCTATTACACGACAAGTACGTGTGGGCGCATAATATGGCAGCCTCTTTGTTCAACCTAATACTGAGCTAATTATTCCTCCAAAAGCTACTCTCAGAAAAAGAGATTATTAATCAATGCACTGATGCCCTTAAACGTCTTCCATCACGCGTATATCTAAGTTTGGTGAGGAAATTGAAGTGGATTGTTTTGTTCAACTGATCAACTAGATGCCACAAACATTTTTTGACAAGAGCCAAGGCTTCATCGTCACTTTCCATGCTATCTGTGCCGCATTTGGTGGCACTGTCGTTCAATGTTAGGCAGATATCCTTAATTATCCATCCAATGGAGAGCTAATCAAATGCCATACTTAGGTACAATCAGTCAATACGGCAAAGGTAACCAATACCTAGTGCACGATTCGGTATGACGAAAGCCAGGTGCGTTTGATGGGCCGTTGTAAATGGCTTAATCAGTTTTAGCAGCTCGAGACCGTTGGGTATCACTTTTCATTAGTTTTCCATTCCTGTTGCTACCTCCCTCTCAGAATCGCACAAAGAAGACTTATTTTTGCGTGCAGATGAAAACAACAACGCATTCTATAAAGAATGCACCAGCTTCGGTGGAGATAATGTTGAAACAACTAAGATGCTCAGGAAGGGTGCGCCATGAGCACAGATATCTCTTGAACCTCTTGCACTTTCCATAATTTTTAACTGCTGCTTTTTCAACAGACTAACGTGATTTGTTCGGCTAGAAATGACTCATCCAGCATAACGATAAATGATGGAACCTAGAGTTTTCAGCTTTGAAAGGTGTCCTAAGTAGGCAAAATTGAATTTTTTTTCACCATTTAGAGATTTTTTTCGTGTCACCTTCAACGGGTTGGCCTGAGATCGCGGCATCTGCTGAAGAAACCACAATGCTGATAAACAAAGAGCCTATAAAAATGGCCTCCTAGACTCCTGTATTTCCCTTCGGTATGCCAAGTTCTTGTTTTTTGTGACTCTCTTCACCACAACAATTGCAGGCTTTAATCTTGGCTGACTTTTTGGCTAAAGATCCACGTCCCAGAATGATGTACTCTAGTGCAGGTCCATCGTTTTGAGATATAATGAAATTTAGCTGTCCTGTCGTTAATTTTTGATGCTTGGCGGTGAGGGAAAAACAGGACAAAGTTCGCAAAGTCGGATTGTACGACCGTATAAAACTGTGGCGACGCCGCTAAACGAAATATCCTCATAACAGATATTTTTAAGAGTCTGAGCGAAATTCATCGCTGATTTGGTCAGCAATATACATTCACCAGAATGTGTGGTAGATTAAAATAAAAACGAAGGGAGATTTTTTAAATTTCGCGAATGAATCTTAATTTAGTGCACACAACAATCAGTTCTCTCAATTTAAGCAAAAGTGGCTACGAAACGTCTTTCATATAATACCATAAACCGGCTGCTCAATAGGGCGATAGTTCCGAGCCAATGATTGCTTTTGGCAAAAACTGCGTTATAGGAATCGCTATTTCCCGTGTTCAAGTTAGCCTATTATAAACCAATTACCGCTAATGGGCGGTTGGTTACCGTAACAAACCTTGAAAATGTGTACAGCGGCTGAATCCTCTTTATCCATGTCCATCACACTAGGCGTAATCAAAATAACTGGTAAACTACTTTCAGATGCGAATAAAATTTTACTCACAGACCAGCTCCAGGGTGAACATTTAACAGGTGCGGCGTTAGTAGGAGTTGTGGTTTTTCCTTTGGTCCTTTCGAAATGAAGGGGTATTCTATAAATCCCTGTCTATCACTGGGCCATAAGTAAAACATGTCAGTTTAGCGTATTTTAAATAGAAAAGCATTCTAGAAAAGCCCTTATTTTTTATTTTTAACCTATAATGAAGTGACAGCGCCTCTAAGTCAAGTAGCCTCAACCGTGAAGCATCAACGGTATTTCTTTGAATACAACGTGTTAGCTACCGAAACATTACCCAGTTTATTCGCCTGTGTATTAATCATGCTAATGATAGATTATGCAAAAGGACTAAAAGTCTTAATTAAAAGTGTTTTGATGTCAATAAACCCTGTCTCGGAGGAGTTCTGCAGTGAGAGCAATGCAAATTCCATTATAGAAGTTGAGTCCACGGTGAACGCAATACCAATCTTTTTTTTCTGTTTGAATAGTGGAGGCATTGGATCCAAGTTGCATTTGCATTTCTTTCGACAAACCTCTGATTAGTGCAGACGAATTCATACTCTTTCATGTCATAATTCCGGGGCGGATTCTTAGAAAAAACTCCCCATCTGACCATACAATAGTTCACCATCGACTGAAAATCCCAACAGTTATCTTAATGCCTCGGGTTATGATGAAACAGACCATGGTGCATGTGCATTCTGGTTTACCAGTATCTTTATCAGTCGACGGAATACCACATGGTTTTAGTAGCATCGAACTCATAATGCGATTGCCTTGCAGGCCACCCACATTCAGGAAAGTTGTCGTCGAAATTTCCTCGTCATCCCACGACATTTTGTAGCATTTTAACTGAACTTTTATCCCCGAAGCCTTACATGAAGTGGCCTAAAAGCGGTCAGATCTTGTGAGCGATTAGCAAAAATATTGCTTACGGGTCGAAACATCAGTCACAACATTAATTTTCTGAACTAAGCTCAAGGGAGGCATAATCGTGCATCCTTTGAGATAAGAAGAACCCTGATATTAGTAAGGCCACGCATTATGGTTTAATCTATTTTATTCTGCTTTGTTATTCCCGAGGCAACACATCGATTGCAGTGGCAAATAATAATGAAGGTTCTTTAATAAAATCACAAAAAAAGGCAAATGGGTTTGTTTTTCAATACCGGACTTGAACCATGTGTTGAGTCCAAGTGGATCTAGGCTCGCATGTTTGAATTTTCAAAGAACTAAAACTTTAAAAATCAATCCTTCGTGTTGAAGCTTTGAAATATTTTGGTGAGCCAACACTATTTCCAAATTTGGACTGCATGTATACGCATTTTTAAGTAGTCTCTTTCACTGGATGTTCTTGTCATATGGAAATGACCACGTCTTGAATACAGCCATTTCTTTGTTTTAGGGAAGAACTGGTATATTTCGGACGGCTCCATTTTCACTGCTTTCTTGATATAGCCATACACATATCCCAACCAAAATATAGAAAATCTGGTTATCATTAACAAGCACTGTATTTTATGCACATCAATGAATTAATACTCATGTTGGACGAAGTAGCTGGACAGCACATCATCTAACCTAACCTCATCAGTCTGATAGCCCGTTTGTCAGACTGCCCAATTCTCAATCCGTCAGTACCTTCCGCCTCTTCATTTGCATTCGCACGCATTTGTTCCAATATTTCATGGACAATTCTTCGTTCGCTCGGAAGCAGATACATTGACCGCACTGGATCTAGTAAGACACAAAAAACACTTAGTTGGGACAATAGCGGCGTTATGAAGTCAATACTGTATAGAAAAGGGGTAATAAATAAAGAGGCACATTTTTTTCAAACATTTCATAAGAAGCGTAAATAGGATGGTTTATAGAATTTTGTCCAGATGACACATTTATTGCCTACTGGTCTGCTCATGACTCATTATGAACAGCTGGTGTAAAACAAAAAAATTAAGCAACCTTATGCTTACTGATCCTAGAAGTGTTTGCCCAACAAATGTTGCTTTTAAGCCGGAACTGCAGTCGCAGAAACAACCCCGGTGAAAAGGAAAAACTCGGTACTTGCTCTACGGTGGTCACATTTGCCTTTGCTAGATCAACCTTACCGAGAATATTTCTCAATAGTAGACTAAATTATGTAGCCATCAGAGTATTTGTCATCTTTAAGTGGATCACAGAAAATATAATATACTTCGTAAAATTGAGTGCCTTCTCAAAGCAATGCAACTGTAACTCTGTGTGATAAATGTGCTGAAAACTTACCAAAGCAAATGATCACAAATGCCAGGAGAAGTAGGCTGGAACTAAGGCGGAAGATAAAGGCCATTTCAGCAGCTGAAACAGAGAGTGGATTTGAGCCTCGGGTGAATTCGAGAGTCGGTAAAATTCTCCCCTGAAGGAAAATTATAATCGCATAACGCCCAATTGCATCGAAATAGGCATATTCCTTGTAAACTTGCGCATTTTATGGAGAATTAATTTACGTGTAGCTCAGCCACAGTGAGTATTTGCATTTTTTAAATTGTGATGATGGCACATTTACGTTATTTGTGTCATTTGGTTTGGGTATGACGGGAAATTAATCTTGTTCACACAACCAACTGCGCAGAGCTTGAGTGGATTCCTGGAAGATAACGTTGAAAACGTGAAGTGAATACCATTAAACCGTGTTAAGCCCATCTTAGGTCGGGGAAACTTGTCAATCCCACATGATGTTTTGCACCACTTGCTGTTACATAGAGCTGTTACAGAAGCTGAATAAATCATTTCAACTATCCATAGTTGATCACGAGCCAGTCCGATAGAGCATAACCTTTGGGCATCGACAGTCCAGGGTCAGTTAGTCAACACTTCACACTGTGCTCCATGGAAAACTTCACAGTTCTCCACCTACATGCAGTCACTTTATACAGTTAGAATTCTCGTTTAGGAAGGCGAACGATTTTGAGATCAAAATATGTTTTCAGTCCTCCTCGTAGTCAGTGAACTATATGCTTTAACCCAGCAAATAATATTGTCAATGATAGCATCTAGATTTTTCTTGGTTAATGAAGATAACTCCTCCAGTTTTAGTCAGCACATCGTCCTCATAGAAGTTAATCATGAAGAAGATTGATCTAAATATGACTGCGACTTGCATATAGAAGGACCAGGTTTAATTTAAATGTGGACTAAAAATCTACCTCCAAATTCACGTTTAAAGGGCTGAGACCAGATCTCAGTGGTGAAGTTGTCATCTTCCTCCCCTAAAAACCAGGACTAAATATTCCTTTAACACATCCAGTTTCCAAATAAGTTGTCCGATGATTTTAACATAAATTCTGTAAATGCAATTGACACAAGCTGAACAATAAACGTTCGGTTGAAATTTAATTCACCTTAGAAGCTGTAGCTCGGAAGAAAGCCACACATGCAGTCCCAATAACACTGCGCAAATACAGATATATGTGACCAGTACATGCTAGAAACTCTTATGAGATTCAAGATTTTAGTCAAGTGTATCCAACAAACAAATTAACGGTTGGTAAACTCACGAGGTTCTTGCGACGCAACTAATAAATTGGTTGTGAGTACCATCCATTTTATCTACCACGGTGTCGAGCTGCTCAGATACGGAGTGCAGTCTGATTGGCTAGCACTGGAATCTTGGGCAAGAAAGCAGGTTGCGATTGGACAATACCTTCTCCGCTGGCATCAAGAAAGTTGGACTTTTGTGGTTTGCACACTAAATCCTGGGGCTGGGGAACATATAGCACTTTAATAATATTGACCTTTCTGTCAATTTCAACGTCAAATGGAACATGCTTATTGATATCGAATTAAATTTAGCTATCCTTCAAACCCACCCTTTGTGAAGCTACACGTCATCCAAGGCACGTGTATTAGATTCATCACGGCTCAAGAGAACCATTGTACCATCAAAATAGACCATCGAATAAAAACGCAGTTGAGACTGTCAAATATATCACTAAAGGTAATAATGAAATCTGATACCAGAATGCAGCCGGCTGTCTTAACACGGACCGTCTTTTCCCCTGTAACTGTCTCACGTGGCGTATTATGAGATTCAACGAAAGCAACGGCGTGATAAATATCAGTGAATTGAACGATCTCTTAAAATAACTGAACTTCAAATCAGGATGCTCAGAGAAGAAGATCAACTTTTAGTATTTGGAAGATGCAACGCTCATTAGAAGAAAAACACTGTGAATCAAAGAATTTAATAAATTTCTGAATTGGCTAGAAATATGTCGAGTGTTTGTCTTGCTATGTCTTCCATTTTAATCACGATATCCTTCGAGAAGTTCCAGGACATCACAACGTAAACGAAATATGGTCAAATTCTCTGCAGTTTGCAGAAGTCCGAGTATTTTTGCAACGTCATTAAAAAAATTACCCATCATTGCGTACAGTAATATAAATAAACGGGCGAACTTTAGGATTTTTATTTCTTTAAATCTAACGGTAGACACCTACTGTCAGTTGGGATTAAACTTACACCATATTTATCAAACACTGAGAGTATGGAAGACTTCTCACAAACTTTTATGCATAGCAAGAAGTGCATGCGATGGTTTTTTAATGTTTCACAGGCGGCTGCAGATAATATTCTTAGACAGAATTTTTCGTGACAATTGTCATATATACCTTGGGGTAAAATTTAAAGTGTAACGGTGCACAAGCGTGTACTATTCCCTGAATATGAGATAGGTTCCGCTAAAACATTTTATGATTTCGGTGCACCACACGATTCTTCCGCGGGAAACGTTAGACAGTCCAGTTCCAAAATACGGTACTTAGCGCGTATTCATAGCTCAAAATTAATCAACTCATATGACCAAGTGGATAGCCACAAGATATTGCCTCTGAGAGTCTCAAAAAGGATGATACAAGCATGGGAATATTTTGTTTATTTAAAAAAAATCAACGCAATAAGAGCATTCCAACACCACTTTTCACGGCCCACGGTGATACCGAGAGTAGTTCATTCGGCCGACATCTATTTTGACTGCAGTACAGTAGTAAACTGGATGTTCTTCCTAAGGGTTACCCTGTCACAACAAAAAGTACTGTTTTCTCACGTCACATAATATGTGAGTTCCGAGTTGTGTTAAGACCATAAGCTTAAGGCCGACGTCGTTTACAAGCTTAAATTCAGCATTAATTGCCTCGAAGACGAAATACTAAATGGCCTTAAGGTAAAAAATTGACGCATATAAAAAAATCTTGTATTACAGGGATCACCTTAAAATTAAATACGAACTCCAAGCCAGAGAGAGGAGAGTAAAGAGCGCACACCCAACCTTATTGTTTTTTTCCACAAACTCGCTCCACAATATAAGCTTTCAATATCAAAAAAGACATTCATTTTCAGGGAAACACATCAGAACTTTCGAAGACACTAAACAGTTGTTGGTGGTAATTTTAGAACGCAGAGAAACGATGAATTAGCTCAATGGTTTGTTCGGAATCCAGCCCAAATGGGTAAACATATCTAGACTCATATGCATATATGTATACCCACGTATACCCACACGCTTATATATATGACCATATATCTATATCTATACATTGGCTACTTTAAAAAACGTCTAAAGCGAATCTGGAAACTATGGCATTCGGCAAAATTCACTGAGTCCAAGTCACACGATATTCATCCACCGCAATGAAAAAGTGTGAATGAAACTTACAATCCGTTGGTTTGTTTGTGTTCAGGCCGTGAACGTCTGTGCATACCATCTGTACACACAAAACGGTCTCCATCGACCCAGCCAAAGATTCAAATTGACTTAACGGGATATGTAAACAGTTAAACATTCGACACTAGATAAGAGGCATAAGCTGTGAATAGTCTTTCACCCACAGAAAGCGGAGGTCAATCGTTCATTTCAAATGTGGGTCACATTTTCACGTACTGATATTGTTCTGCGCTGCTCATGACATGAAATTGGTCCGAGTACTCAGGAAGAAATGGAAGTAAGAAAAGTTTCAATTTAAAAAGATTGTTCATTGCATTCTAACAAACCATATTTATATTACAATGTCTTGGATTAAGTCGTGGCATGGGGTTGTTCAGTGGAGAAGACCTGTAAATCGGCCCATGGGTTTTGTCGTGGTTGGTGAGTAATTTGAATGATTTACTTGGTTGAATTTAGCGATTTGCGTTTGGAAATCGCCTTGCAGTCAGCTATTTGTGAATGAGCATAGTGGTAGTCACCTTATTGTATGTATGGTACAAAGTGGCATTTGACTGGCTCTTTGTTCAGAAGAACCGGTATTTTTGATCGACTATGCTGGTCGCCGCAACCGTAGTTGAATCGTATATGAATACATCCAGTTGGTTGACTCGAATTCGGATTGTATGTAGAGCCTTAGCGAGCAACTCAGTAATCCAGTGACAATTTTCTTATGACTAACCCAGAATTGAAGTGTCCCTTACATCCGCTCGTTCGCATTTTGCTCAGTACATCTCATTTGGCGCCCAATCCACTGTACGGATAGAGGTTACCCTCTCCAAAAAGCAGAAAAGTTGTTTCGGCTTTACACGCGTTGTAAGATAAATGCTTGGTATTTTATGAATTGGACAATACCCTTAGATCTAGAATAACCTTACTCCATTTGGTCTAAGTAATCTTCATAAATTATGATTGCTTCTTGAATTTGACGTAAATAGATCCTGTGAAGCAGATTTCACGCATTCATTAAGCCATTTTTTATAGCAGTAACTTTCCCAAAGAATAAAATTGGATCGATTGAGCAAATACTAAAGAAAATGTGCAAGTCAAATTCCATAACGCTGAAAAATCCCCCGTAAATGGGCCAGCATTTTGCAGGATTTCTGAGCCGATGACATTCTTGTTGCCGAATAAACGGAGCAAACCTAAGGATATGAAATCTCGATTCTGGAGAAAATATCAAGAAATTGAAGGACGGAATTTTTTCAACTCAAGCATTGACTCAATTCAACATCATTTACGGCCGACTTACTGAACGGAATTTCGTAGGTTGAAGTGAGCACAATCAAAAATTGAGGTGTTAGCTCATAGCATTAAATACCATCAAAACTCGAATCACCTGTAATTTTTGTGTTCTCCCTACTTCTGCTGAAAACAAAAATCGCTCTGCATAATTTAATTATTCTGCATATTTAGAAAAAGCAGCACAACTAAAGCTGTTTTTTCTGGACGGTTTTGCTCTTTGTTCAAGAGCATGGATCTTATTCTCGAAAAGGTGAGTGCTCTAGGTACGATGCGTTCAGCACAAAAATCCAATTCAACTAGTTTCAGCGAATCTTGCTTTGTACACTTAGGTCTGTCTCATTGAAACAACATTAGCAT